GATGTATACAAAGATGCAAGATCCGCAAGACACACGGGTGCGCCCGCCAGCCAGGGGCCCTCACACAGTCAGCATGGCGTCAGAAGGTCTCTCTGCATGAAAAACGGCCTATGACGTCCGTGAATTTGCGCGGCTGGGGTAATATGTAATTCCTCCAACAACTGCCCCACACACCCTTCTTTTGATATTTCAAAACCAATTTTGCAAACAGTCAGTTAATACCGAGGCAACGTGAAATCACACCACCTCACGCTTGAACCATTAAATTATTTGCTGTCCCAAAGAGGGACAAGGGGAACAGCAACCCTGTCTGACAATCCAGAAAAGAGCACAATATACACACACAAGGAACCGGACCGCCCCCCGAAAAATGAGCAGGCAATATTCACATATTTAACCGGGTCCGCACGGAAAGTTAGAGGCAGTGTGGCCAGCCCATACACACTCCGGGCAAAAGGGCCCCATGCTCGGTCTCTAGCGGGCCCGTTCGGAAGTTCTTTGTTCCGCGGGAATACTCACGAGCAAGTGCCGACGCGCAGTCAGTGGCACCGCGCCTCTGAGCAGGTGTCGTAGTGTCGCTGTAAGTGGTTCATGGCGATGTTTGGATCAAGGAGCGGGCCAAACGACTCTAACTATGCGGTTGAAACCTTGGCCTCGCACTCGGTTGGGCAGAAGAGTGCTTCGGGGATGGGGATGAGGGAGTCCATGGCTATGAGCACGCTCCAGCACGGCCGGCCCCAAAGCTCGAGGTTGTCTTGATGGGAGACCTCTGACAGCACGCTTCCCCCAAGTGGCCTCTTCAGGAACCTGTAGAGCAGCCCTCACTCCACCTCCACCGGACTCACGGGAGACGAGAACAGGGGGGGGCACCTCCGCCGAGCTCAAATATATCTGCAAATAAGGCCAGAACGGGAGCAAGCTCTGGAGAAATGCCTTGGGACCCATGGGCAGCAGCCCTTTGCATACTTGCTGCAGCTTAGCAGAGCGCTCAGGGCCTTCAGGCACCCAAGCCTTGGGAAGCCGGGTGGCTGGGGGTTGGGCACAAAAGGGGGGGTCGCCTCGGGAACGCTTGGATTCTTCTGGGTGTTGTTTGGCCTGGTTCACCGACGGGTGGTCGCACGCCGGCCGACTTCTTCAGCGTAGGGAGCCGCGGATGGGCCTGGTCCGGTCCGCCGCCCTCGGTGTTGCCTCGTCTACTGGCCCCTCAGTGGCCAGCCCCGCACGGACAGTGGTTGGCGTGGATCCCAAGTTGTCCTCTCGCGCTACCTTAACGGCCAGTGTCCTGTGTCACCAGCCGAGGGGCGAGGCCATGGGTCCGAGCCAGCGCTTGGACCGCCAGGGGCTTTCGTCTCGTTTCCTTCTACCAGGACCCAGTCCGCCTGCGCTAGATCCCCTGTGCAGGAGCCGCCTAGGGCAGCTGTTGAGGGCGCCATCCGACCTGGGCCAGAAACTAGCGGGAACAACAGTGCATTAATTTCCAGTTCACAATATCGGTACAGGCATGTACGTTCATCACACAAAGAGGTTGCTTGGCATGACTCTCTGTTCGGGGGGTCCCGCGCCCAAGTTGGGTGGTCTGGCACAGAGGATATCGCATGGGCCTCTCATGCGCAAGTTCAGGAGGGCGCCTATCGGCAGAGCTTTGCGTGCCATTTCAGCTCGCTTCGCAGCATGCCTCCGGCTGCCAGGGGGCGTAACTGCCGTGTTTACGTAGATCAATGCCCAGCCAAGTCCACCCCACTTATCCGTCAATAGACTTTTGGCTCCCGACACGTGCCTGCCCTTTGTCCCTAGAGCATTTTCCTCGGGGACCACCCCCATCGTGGCCCAATATTCTGTGAGCAGAGCTTTCACCACCGCGCTATGCGCCGTGGCGTGTTTGCCTGCAAATACTTCCGTCCAATTTGGGACCAGAGATCACGCCAGCAGCCCCAGACAGTAATTACTTACCTTGGCATGGTGTGTTGTCGAGGGTGAGTTCATCAAAGTCCCTTTGGACATGTTTGAACATGGGCGCAGGGCGCGGAGGATGAGCCAGCCCGTTTGGATACTTTTGGGACTTACCAGGGTTGTGCGCGAGGCATTAAAAATAAAAACATTAACGCGCATGTTTGGCAGGCTGACCATCACTGTGCACAATGCCGTTTCAACCCCTTTGTATAACCAATTTTGTGTGGTATATCATACATCCAATCCCTCCCCTTTTGAGGCATGGATCTCGACCAGAGTGCTAAACTTGCAAACTAGTCTGAAGATACTGCCGTGGTCGGCACGGTTTTGCGGTCTGGTCCCAGCCCCACACCCCATGCCGTCGCTTGAGCCCCATTTCCCCCTCGCCACAGCCAGCGTGTCCTCTGCTGGAGTAGCCAGAGACTGCCAACCGCTGAACAGCGAGGTGAGCGAACATATCAACGTATGCGTGAGCGTAGAGTGAGTCGTGTTGAGTAGAGGTGCGTAATGCGCGCTGCCTTGTGACCGTGGGGCGCGCCGATTCCCTGGCAGAGGATGGGATCAGTGGCATTGAGTGGTGGGCCTGGCCTTTGGCGTGCAGCGAATCTCTAAGGGCAAACATTACAGCTCATACAGCAGACGTTCCACCTTGTGTGGACATAAAATTGGTTTCCATCAAGTTCAAAAAATTGCGGTGATTACCACAGTGCTTCTCCAGTCGTGCACCAAAGAGGCACCATCGCGCGTATCACAGAATAAGGTGCACCGCTTTGCCACGCTCACACGCCCCGGCGGGCCGGACCAGTACAGCGGATTTGTGCTGAAAGGTAGTTGGGGCAACCTACCAGAGTCTATTAGTAATACAAAATCAGAACCCACACAGCAAATAGCCGACTCCGGTTCTGTCCCCGCAGTGTGGTCACGTGCCGCGGCTCCGTACTGTATAACCACAAAAATCAAGTCAGGGTTAGTCAGAGGCACCTCATTTCCAAGGTCTGGCCTGGGAGTGCAGAATCTGTTTCTATTGTGGCGATTATACACAGCAGTGTGCCCTCCCCTTCCCTCTGGCGTGGGCAGCCATAGCAGTGGGAGGGGTTCAGCTGTGTGCATCCTCGTCACCGTGACAATGAGGGAGTTCAAAGCAGCACCGAAGTTGTACTTCCCAGCCAACGAAGCCGCTGAAAGTGCGAGAGGCCCTCCTGGCTCTAGCAGGCATCAGGGGAAACACGCCATGGGGCACAAGCCCCCACGTTAGTTCAGTGTATCCCGACAAGGTTCACGTGATTGCTAGGGCCGCTTTCTCAGCGGTCAAGCCACCAGCCGCAGGCAGCGCGGCACACCCTGCTGGCCACGGGCATCGAGATATTTGCTGAGAGACAGTCATAGCAGTGGGTCTCAGTGGCCCTCCGTTGTGGACTGCCAGCAAAGTACCGGGGGGCACCCATGCACCCACATCGCTCATCCACAGATCTGAGTGCAATAGGCCCGGAATGGGTCCGGGAGACCTAGCGTGTGTGTGTAGATTGGCTGATTCCGATTCATCTCACAGTTTGCTTTACTCACCGGATCGTCCTCCACTCAGATATTGTGGGCGGGCCTTTTGATGCCACACGTGGAGGCGGGGGGAGTCACTTTCCTGCCGGATCCAAAACAAAAACACCAAAAAAAAAATGAAAAGATGCCCACTATTCGCTTGTCAATCTTTTTCCAATTGGGCAAAACATAACTGCATTGACAGACGGTGTGTGGCAGTGTGCATCCGGGCGGAGGCTGTAGCCAGATACAGAACAACAAAATGTATTGTTTTAATTTTATACTCCCTAAATGTGAGTTTACCAACAAAGTTGTCCTTCAACCAACGACAGCTCACTGCGGTTGGATCCGAATCACTGTCAGGGCAAACAGCAGAGGGAGGGAACTCCCAATATCTTCAGCGAGGTATTTCATCTCGAGTACTTTCCGCAGAGTAATTTTTCAGAGTACTCATCCAGAGTACTCTCCATTTACCACCTGTTCAATAAAGGTCGTTATCTTTGAATCTCTAGAGTACTTACACAGTATGCTGTTGACACAAAACCATAATATCTTCCATGATCACATTAAACCAATTACAGACACATTTGTTATTCCATGATTGTTCTGCATTCCTCAATTTCCACTCCTCACTTTCACACATCACATCATATCACAGTCACATCACAGGCGATTCCCAGGTTAGTATTGGTCCAGAGATTGTTAAGGTCAACGTTAGTGTACTTTGATCATGACACAACATATAATACACACAACATATAACACACACCAACATATAACACACACCCAAACATTATAACTAACACAGAGGCCTGTATTTTTAACTTTGTTATAATTTTTCCATGTCCCAATTTCCAATTGTCTCATGTAGCTATTTCTATTGTTGCCAACTTTCCGAGCTCTGCAGTGCTTTAAAGAGTTTTCTAAATAGGATCTGATTTCCAACTTAGTGTTTACCACGTAGGTCTGTCTTTCGGGCTTATCACAGATTGTGTCCCCTATATCTCTAATGAAGCTCTTGTCCACTTCAACAACTGTTTATTTTCTTATTTTTTCATTTTCAATAAGCCAGGTCGGATTCATTAAAAATTTAAATTAGTCTCAAACTTTAATACTTCACCTTTGTTTACGATAAAAAATGTTTTGTGTTGCTCATTAAGTAGCACAGATAGTGGTGCCTATCTCAAAAACGTACTCGTTTAGCCTATTTTCCTACACTGCATGAATTTTTCAAATCCCCCAAGTTATTGTCTGGGGACGACCGGAGAGAGCAGCTTAGGTCGTTCGCGGTGGTTGACCTCAAAATTTTGTGCGGGCGTACACTCTATCCACTTGTTGTGGCTAATAACTTAGCAATTCAGGGTTTGGTGTCAATTTCCAGTGGTAGTTAACTTATTGGGACCGGTGCCTCTTTTATTTATCTATTTTTAATTGAGTCTGCACATAAGGTCTCGGCCTAGTAGATTAACCGGGCACAATGGGGAATATAGAAAAGAAAGTTTAAGCTGGTTGCCTGAGAATCAAAACACGTTAGCGGTGAGTAAAATGCTCTTTAGTCGTCTCTCCCACGCTGCTAATGAGAATGTGAAGCGGCCACTCATTTTAGGGGGAGACAGACAGGCTGTCACTTTTAGCACAGAATTTGTTGCCCGGAGTCATCCAGAATTTTAACTTTTACACACAGAATGTTAGCGTATATTACGGGAATTCAGCATGAATTATCTCTAAAAAGTGCCAATTGCAATTTGTTGTTGTTCACACTTACATGAGCGGTCGCTTTGGTGACGAATGTGAACCCGGGTTTGGTCAGTCGCTCGTGTTTCCTCCACGCCCGCCTCTGCCGTCCTCTGGCCCCGTGTGAGCTTGAGGGTTCCTCTGCCTTTAACGCCTCCTCCGGTAACAGTCCTTCGACCCATGTCGAGCACACAGTCTTTCCGCCGGGCTGTGGAAGTTTCTCAAAGTCCGCAGGAGGCCCAGGTAGCCCAAAGCGTTAGCCTGTGGTCCATGAGGGTTGGTGAATAACCAAACGTGCCGGTACTTTTGGCTTCTTCTGTTTGCGGTGCGGGGGCAACTTTCAACGAGGTTTCAGCGGGTGCGTTTTGTGTTTCACGCTACCCCTCCGTGGGGAACAGTCACGGGATTTGGAGCAGTTTGTCTTGGCCTCCAAGGCAGTTGTTGGTGTCTCACATATTTGCTTCCCCCGCTTCTTCTTCTGCGGTTTCCTGAGCGTGTATCTGCTTCCGCCACGTTTCTTCTGCTCCGGGTTTGGGCCCACTTCTCGCGGGGTCTCAGCTGGTGCGAGCGCCGCCTGTGGTTGGGGCGTGGGGCTGGTGCTTTGAGGCAGAGGACAGAGCGCGGAGGAAAAGCGCCGACAGACCTGGACAGGGAGAGGAAAAGGGACAACAGTAGTCTGCTCATTTTTTTTAAAAAACCAACGCCTTGTTTGGGTGCACACTTATTGTTAGTAGGGGAAAAAGGGCGGTAGGGTGGGGGTGTGGGGGTGTGGGGGATGTGTGTGTGTGTGTGTGTGTGTCCTCCTGTGTGTTCTCCGCTTCGGTGAAAAGCGGAGGAGCTATTGTTTTTACATATTTCTTTCTCTAACGTCTTTTGCCGTGATATTCTTAAAACCAAGTATATTTTTTCTTCCCTTCTTCTTCTAAATTATCACGCAAGATGCGTAGTTGATTCGGAGACATAGAGCCTCCATAGCTTTAGGTCCGAACCGTTTTTCCATTGTCATTGTAACGGGGGACGTTAACCTTCCCCTCGGTGTGGAATCTCTAGATTGATTTTCCCATTTTCTCGTACAGAACAATGGGCCTAACCCGCTTAGTCTCTCCCTGCTCTTACCCACTTTGGGGCGCTCCGTTCCCCCCCCGCTGGTTCAACCAGCGATGCGCGCGTTCTTGAAAACGGAGCGGTTCTGGCTGAAGACACTCAGAGATTCCAGGGTCGCTTACAGAGCGATACTAACGCGCAGCTGCTAGCTTCAATCTAGAACAAAAGCCCCCAAAAATCCCGCACACAGTCTATGCTGTGGCAATGAATGAAATACCCCAAAAATACGTAAATAAACAAATCCCCGTGTACACTTAAGTGCTCGTTACGCAGATGAAAAGACAAAACTCACCAAGTTAGGTTCTTTTTGGTCTTGTGTGGCCAAAGAATCCTTCCATGCGCGGGACGAGCGCGCCCTCCTTTGTCTCCAAATAGAGAAGAGGCTGGTGTTGTTTCCAGGTCGGCCAAACGCGGCCGCTCGTCCCCGCCGAAAGTATCCATGCCAAGACATGCCAGCAACGCCAAATTGTTATAGAATTACATACCCCAAAACAAGGAGAAAGCCCAAAAGTATTTGTCTTAAATCAGGAGCGTAAGTTTATTGTAACGCACGTGCGGAGAGCTAGCATATCCAAAAGGCAGCAGCATACCCAGCTCTGGCTCGCAGAGCTCCGAGTTTCCTGTTTACAAGACACACACGAAAGACAGTCCCGCCCACAACAGATGGGAGGGGGCCACCGGTGCAGGAGGCGCATAGGAAGGGGCGCCATCCCCGTGGTGACAGTAGCATGGAGGTGCGAACAGACAGACAGTGGTAGAAATGCAGGCATACAGATGCAAGACGCGGAAGGCATACAGATGCAAGACGCGGAGGGGGGGATTTGCGTCATTGTCTGGCGGTGCGGGACCTTCCTGCGGTTATCAGAATACAGTGATTTGCGTCATTGTCTGTAGGTGTCGGGGGAACCCGGCTCCTTCCTGGAGCAGGGACATATGAATAGAAGCAGGCATACAGATGCAAGATACGAAAGACACAAGGGTGTGACAGACAGCAGGGGCCCTCACAAAGCTCAGCATGGCGTCAGAAGGTCGTCTCTGCATTGATAAAAGGCCTTTGACGTCCGTGTATTTGCTGCGGCTGGTTTTATGTAATTACTCCAAAAACTGTCACCACACAGTTTATATAATCCTTGCAGATTTTTGAGATTGAACCCTTTTTCAGCTGATCTCGTAACAGTAACGTATTACAATCATATTCAGGGAGCTGGTTTGGATATTTCATGACACTTTGAACTATGGTTAAAGTTTGAACTCTTCATTCTAACATATGCAGAAGCCAGTACTTTTCCACAGCATGTTTTGTCTATCTGAAGGCCAAACTGGCATAGCGGCGAAAGCTGATTGGACGGTGTTCATTCCTCCATGCTATATTATCACTTGCAGTTTGTAACATTCTTTGTTCATGCTCTTGTTCGTGCTCTACCATCAACAATAAAACATTTCTTCTGTCTGAATTAAAGACACGATCCCAGACTTTGTCATCTTCTTCACTGGTAGGGGAAGAACGGAAAGTTTGTTTTTGCAAAATTGCGGTTTGTTTCTCTCTGGATTTCATTCTCCCCATCTGTCTTTGAATGTCCACTGATAAGCCTTCTCTGAATGTTTGCAGTACGCTTATTTCAGAGTTTGTACCGTGAGAGTAAAATCCTCCAGTTGGTCCGTGGTTAGCAGTGTAGTGTCCGCCATGTTGCTAACTTCTTCTATGGCTGTCTCTTATGCGTTAGCTGGTGTGTTGGCCGAGTTGTTAGCCGATGGGACCGCAGCTGTTTGAAGCGTCTGCTGAGTGTATCTTCTTTGGTTTTTTGGTGGCATGTTGCAGCCTGTGTAGCCAGTGAGTGTTGTGGCAAGTAAAGACTTATTTCTCCGACCCAAAAATCAATAAATGTACGCGAAGCTGCCGTAGGTGCAATGTTCACTCCATAGGGCGGAAGCGGAAGTCCCACTGCTGGTTATTTTTAAAACATAACCCTGTGATAAACCAGGGACCATAATTTTTCATTCCATCATTGGTTTGGACTTTTTCCAAACGCTCTGAAATGCATGTGATCCCCAGTTCACATCTGACTCCCACTCCTCCAGGGATGTGAACTGGACATATCTCCTGGGTGTGTCCTTGTGTATGAGCCGTGAGGTGATCAGAGGAGGGGGAGGGCTGGTCTACATCCACGAGGAGCTTCTGCGTCTCACAAAGCTGCAGCCAAATCAAATGCAAATGTGAGTCCTGTGACAGAGCCAGAGGAGGGTTGGAGCTAAAAGTGGAGCTGGGTCTGAGTTATTCTGTACACGTGTCTGCTCCTTCACTCCCCCTCCTGCTCCCCCTTCACTCCCTCCCTTAAAGCACACATACATATGAGTCATTGTTTATTATGTTCAATTCCATTTATTTGTGAAGAACCCAAGATCACAATAGCAGTCGTCTTGGAGGACTTTACAAAGTTGTAGAAACATCAACAACTGTTGATTAGAGAATCAAAGAGTTCAATCCCAGGACAAGGAATAATAATAAACACATAGGAGCCAGAGGGAGCGGGATGACCACTGTCCATGAATGTTATAAAATATATATGGCACAAACATATCACAGAAGTACTTTCTGCGAGGCCATTGAGAGACTTGTACACAGGCAGAGGCGCTTTAAAATCTATTTTCTGAACCACAGGAACCAAGGCGACCAGGATTAATGTGATGGTACTTGAAATCAATGAAAATTATAAGAGAACATATGTCGTCTTTAAATATGAAAGTTACTCGGGTGTTTCTTACAGGATTTTAAGATGGATAGCATACTTTTAGTCCTAAATACATTTTTCTTCACTTCTCTCAATGCACTCCTTCTATCCGCTCTGAGTGATATTCGGAGCTACAGTCTTGGATCAGCCATAAAAACTCACAGACACTCAAGCTCTTTAATGCCATATCGGGCACAAACCGCTCATGGCCCAGGGGAACAGATGAAAAGGCCCCAGAAAAGAGCCAGAATGGGGGAGGCGGTGGTTCACTCTTCGGCAGGCCCGATCGGGGATACAGCAGAGGCAAATGTTGGTTTAGGATGTTGGAAAAAGTCCATTGGTTTCACAGCGTGGTGTGGTATCCCTTGGGTCGCGCTGGAGAAGGGAGTGATGAGGGAAAGCTGGGATGCTCTCGTGGGCAATCACAAGTCTAGGACACTGGATAGACGCTTCTATACGAGGCTTGGAAAGTTGTACACCTGTTTTTTCCTCTTAGTCGTCAAGTCTTTGGGAATGAAGAATGACTCTACTTCTTGAAGCTATTTTGAAAAACTGAATGTATTCTTTCATTCAAAGATGCCACGCTGTCACACATACTGTTACATGAAGCATCACCGTGAGTTTATTATAATGTGGCCATGCTGTATCACAGATTCTTTTGTGTGCAATTGTGTGTACTCCATCAACATCATATAACGTCTGTTCAAAGAAACTGTTTGTAGCTTGTGTGTAGCGCCACAAACATTCCTATAGCACACTCTTCCCATAAACCCTTGTTCCTGCTCCTCTGAAGGTAAAGTTGTGAGTTACCCAACCTCTTTGATCTGCACCAGTAGGTTGACAAGATCCGGGTTCTTCAATCTCAGTCCTAGGTTTACAGCCTCAGCCCTGGTTCTACTGCCTGTCTGTCCCTGGGAGCAGCTCCCTATAGACCTCCTCGGGGGGATTTTCGCACTGCTTTTCTTCAGTAATGATCCAGGACATTTCTGAACAGTGGTCATCCTTGCCTGGCCTGCCAGACACTCCTCCTTTCTGTTCAAAAGAAGAACCGTCTGGACACCTCTTCCTAGCCTATCATTTCACGATTTTACCCACATCGGTCCAATCACGCACCGAGAGGCGGGACTTCCTTTCACCTTTGAGTTGCTAATAACTCCTCGTATCTTTAAGTTTTTGTTACAAAATCGACAGCAGTCGTTTACATTTGCACTAGCTGACATGCCGCCATCCCTTGTTTTGTGTTTACTGAAACGGCTTGGGTGCCGCTAGTTGCTGCGTCATATCCTGTGTGCATCTAATTGGTTGATGCAGTCTGTCAACCACGCCCACCGGGAATTCGCTGAGATCAAGCTCGTTCCCAGACTATATGTCTTTGAAAAAGCATATCGTTTGGCAGGCCAGGCAATGGTCATCCCTCTCCCGATGGACCAATGGCTCCTATGTGTGTGTTATTATTATAATTCCTGTGTTCAAACTGTTTTATTTTTTCCCCGTTGTAAAGTCCTCCAAGACAACTGCTGTTGTGACTTCGGGCTATAAAAAATTTAATTGAATTGAAAGTCAAATTTGTACGTCATTTCTCCTTTCTTATAGATCAAATCCTTTTGCAGTGAATCCAACATTGAATGTTTGTGACTTGGACAATGCTCTTGAGAGAATTGTAGGAATGAGACAAGAAAGAAGGTCGTGAAGACAGAATGCAGAAAAAAGAGAGGCCAGAGGATGGCGAGAAAGTGACGGGAGGGAGTTTTCATAATCGTCACTATTTTTAGTCCTGCTCCAATTTGAGCTCATCGCCAAAATCCAAACTGAGAGAGGCTAATGAGAGCTGTTCCCCAGGGCCTCATACTCTGCAGCAGACGCACCCGGTCCCCGCATCTCCCCCAAAACACACAGACACGCACACACTAGTCAACATGCATGTACAGAGCAGAGGTGTTCATTGACAGCGGTTACACGCCGGGAAAACAGAATACAGGTCTACTTAAAAAGGGGAATTATGCAATGTTTTATGTTAAAAGATGTGTTTATTTTTGCTTATTTGCTTATGTGATTCACCAAAAACAGATCAGAGAATAAAACTGAAATTTCCCCATTGTGGGACGAATAAAGGACCTTCTTCTTCTTCTTCAGTTCAAACACAAGAGATGCAATATTAACAAACATAAAGGAACCATTGGAATATAGGGTGCGCTTGTCATGAGACATTTCCTTAAACTCTCCTGAATCAGCAAGTAAGATTACAATATTAAATAGGAGGCCCACATTGAGAGAGAGATCTGCTCCTACGGACGAATAGGTTATAGACTGGACTGAGGCTATACTATATATCCAGGACTGAGGTTGTAGATCCAGCACTGAGACTATAGTTTTCAGGACTGAGACAGCTCCCAGGCAAGGAGGGGAGTCCTGTCGAGGGGAGATCAGTCCACAGGTGCAAGAAAAACAGGCTGGATTCAGGGGTCCTATCATCACGCCATGAAGCAGACAATGGGCAATGGGACAGTGGGTGAAAAGCAATGAACAGACTATAGCTGAAGTCATAATGATGGTAGATCAAGTAGGAAAAGGGGAAGATAGTGATCATTAAATGATAAGATAAGAGTTCCTTTATTCGTCCCACAGTGGGGAAATTTCGATGTTGCAGCGCACAGACAGGACAGTAGTATGAGCACACAGGGATCACACAAAATATACAAAATACAAAATAAGTAGTAGCTATGTTTCTCAACTAGCTGTAGATGCTGTAAATGCTTCAATACTAGTAAATTATATATATATATATATATATATTAGTACTGCAGAGTTATATACTGTACATATAGTGCAGGATAATAAGTGGATAAATAAAGTGACATTGTTCTGTGACATTCTGAAGTTGCAGTATTGCACATTGCACATGATTTAAGTATTTACTTATTTACAGATGAATGAAATTTACAGGCTCAGCAGTTCTCATTGTACAGTCTGACAGCAGCAGGAAGGAAAGACCTACGGAACCTCTCATTCACACAGCGAGGGTGACTTAGCCTGTCACTGAAATTGCTCTCCAGAGCAGACAGAGTGGTCCAGCATAGATGTTAGTTTGTCCAGGACCCTCCTGTCCCCCACCTGCCGCACTGTGTCCAGGGAACTGCCCAGGACAGAGCTGGACTTCCTGATGTGGGGAACATGCTGCTTTAACATTTGATTATTGTGTACAGAGCTCCAGTATCAATTGTTTTGCAGGTTTTCTGATGAGAGATCCCAGAACCAAGTAAATTGAAAAGCAAGTAAGTCCATTAACGCTTGAATAACACTGGGTGAGGGAAATCCAGTTAGACCAGAGAAGGATCCGGGAGAGACCAGATTGTTGTTATTGCCTTGAAAAACAAAAAAGGATGAATTCATGTTGTAAAACTTTAGACTATTTTGAATGCAGCCATGAGCACATGTTCCAAAGATATTTTTCACCATACTGCCAAAAATACTACTGCAGTGTACAATGGAATTTCCTGTTTAACGTCTATGCGTGGGGATCAAATTACTCTCGCCGGACCAAATCCAAATTGGGACACTGCCAAAATGTGTGTGTGATTAGCACCAGTAATCCGGTGGGGTTTTTTCAGGCTGGTGTGCTACAGTGAATGGAACACTTCAGGGGTACTGATGGTAAGTTCTGGATGGTAAGTTCTACAGCATCAGTCTTAGATCTACAGCCTCAGTCCTGGATATACAACCTCTGTCTTGGATCAACAGGTCTTAAGATAAGATAAGATAAACTTTATTGATCTCACAATGGAGAAATTTACATGTCACATTTGGCTTTGATAGAATCCCTCAGATTGTGCAAAAAGACATGAAGTGTGCAACACTTAAATGGATAAAGGTTAAAAATATAGTCTGTGCCAGATATATTATGTACATTTAAAAGTAGAAATATTACTGTACAGTCTGACAGTGATGGGGATAAAGGCCCTGCGGTACGCTCCTTCTTGCACTGAGGGTGCCTCAGTCTTCCACTAAAGGAGCTCCTCACCTCCTCTACAGTCCTGTGCAGTGGGTGGGAGGTGTTGTCCATGATGGAGGTGACTTTGGCTAGCACCCAAGTCCATGGTAACCAACTGGTACTCCTGTTCGTTCCCCTTAGACACACAGTCCACATCATCAGAGAACGTCTGCAGGTGGCAGTTGTGTGTGTCAAATATGAATTTCAAAGTGTAGATGGTGAAGAGAAACGTGAGAGGATGGTGCCCTGAGGGGCCCCAGTATTGCAGACTACCACTTCAGACTCAGCTTGTGCACATACTGCTGTTGTCCAAGTTCCTAAAATCAAATTTAAAGCAAGTTATTTAGGGGGACACGGGGGTCTCGGTCCAGTTGTCGTATATAAAACATCTTGTGTGACTATTTCCTTTTGCTTGCAGTCTTGTGTCCGGATGGCCTCTCTCACGCTGCCTGCAGCTGGGGCCTGTCCTGGACTATCGCAGGCTGTGACAGTGAAGGCATTTGTGTGTTCATAAAGTGGAGTGACACCTGGCCCTGCTCCAGTCTGACTATGAACACCATTATGGAGATGAAGGGAAATTATGCAGCCGGCCCCTGGCTACTGAAGAGGGGCCAGGGAGGGGACACAGCCCATCAGTACCTCTGTGTCACCAATAATGGATGTGATCATATATCACATATACAGAGAGGAACTGTATATAAAAAAAATCTGTAATATAGTGTGCGGATTTTGTGTTGTATTGTATAGGAATATAGTTTATATTTTCAATTCCAATTTTTCAAGTTTGGCTTTGAGAGAGAGAGATCAGAGGGAAAAGCCAGGGAGAGTGCCCTGAGAGAAAAAGAGGCCAGTTTGTTTGCTTGTTTTATTGTATTTTAATCCATGGCCCTTTGAGGTTTCATGGAAATGTAAGGTGCAATATACACAAAACATATTATTATAATTACTACTAGAATGGAATGGAGAGCTCTCCATTCCATTGCAAGAGGACTGTGAGCTGTGAGCTGCCTGTTCTGGAGGTTCTTTATGAATCCAGACTCTTAAAATGAGCTCTTAAGATAATCAACGACTCTACTGGCCACCCTGGAAAAGCTGTTCCAGCTTCTTCCCTCTGGCAGACGATATCGTTCGTTGAGATGCAGGACATCTCTCTTAGCTAACAATTTATTTCCACAAGCTGTTATCAGTTAAAACAAAGCACTTTCATGATCTTGCACTTGTATTGGAACTGTTTTAGCTGATCAGTCTGACAGTGTCAATCATTTCCAGCACTTTTTAATCCTGTACTTTATGTACATGTCTTGTGCTCACAGGGGACTTTTACATGTTATGTTACATGTATGTTACATTATGCAGAGAAAATGCTGAAAAAACAAAACAGAAAGGAACATTCACACAGACTATAATGAGAAAACATACAGACAATATGGCGGCACGGTGGCAGAGTGGATAGCACTCTCGCCTCTCAGCAAGAAGGTCCTGGGTTTGAATCCCGGTCGGACCAGGGCCTTTCTGAGTGGAGTTTGCATGTTCTCCCTGTGTCTGCGTAGGTTTCTTCCGGGTACTCCGGTTTCCCCTACCACTAAAAATATGTCTAATAGTTCTAGCATGCGCCTCCTGTACTGGCGACCCCGCTCCCATCTCTGTGTGGAGTGAGAGGACAAGTGCCCAAAAAAAATAACAATTGTAAACCGCTTTGAGACTCAGCTCTGCAGTGAAAAGGCGGTATATAAATAAAGATTACTTACTACTTACTTACAATTCAAGTGGGTATATGTGGACATACAAACACAATGAAAAAAATAAATTGTAGTTCAAGTTCCCATTTTAAACAGACTAATAAAGGATGCCCATGTCCTGGTATATGTATATTCATTACCCTGTAAGGAATCAAAGTGCATCATTACATCTAGAGCCCTGCCCTTGAGCCCTAGGCCAGAGGGGCCCGACAGCCCGAGGACCGGGCGTCGGGCCGATGGCCGTATAGTAAGTATAATTACCTTGTACTCGGGCTGGGCTTGGGCACTTTATTTATTAACTTTCAGAGCGGCATATTACATCTACGAACGCACCCACTGAATATAGCGTTCTATCACGCTGTAGTATTTGTTGTTTTGTATAGTATTGTCATTGACGACACATAGAGTTACAGTGTTTTTAATTGTATTGTATGAAATATGAAAGCCACGTAAACACACACACACACACACACAGACACACACGTACACACACACACGTACGGACACAGAGACAGATGAGGACAGCCGCGGATCACAAAGCTCCTATCAAAGTGATGCAGTCTCTCTGAACTACATCATGGATCTATAATAATAACATGGATCCACGTGCCTGAAGCCTCAGTGAACGCCATAAGCTGTGGCAGCTTCGCGAGCAAACGTCACCACATACGCCACCAACACAAGCTTTTAAAAAATCCCCTCTAAATGACTAGCACACGCTTTGACGCTTCTTCAGCTCTTCTCCCTAATTTTTGGACATCCTCCAACGCCCACGGACAAGGGTGAGAATTGGGACAAGGCTTATGTCATTTGTGTATTTATTATCCAATAAATAATCTTTTATTTTTAAAGAATGATCTCCTGACATCTTGGTCATTTGACATGATACCACCGAAACATAAACAAAAAGTTCCTTCATCTCACGCGCATTCTGAAGATGCTGCGAATAGGCTCACAATGAAGTATTACAAACACGGTGTAAACAGAATGACACGAGGAGGAATGTAAGAGGTGCTTGTGCGGAGCTTTAACAAAAGACAAGACCAGAGGTGTAAATGGATTTAAGCTGAAACCACAATGACCAGAACCAAACCAGAGAGCTTGGTTTGCAGGAAGGCGAGGGGGTGCGTTTGGGTGCCGGTCCATGCAATTATTGTCTGACGTTCAACCGGTCTGTGGCACTAAAAAAGTTGGTGCAAGTGCAAGCTGCTCTTAAACGCCTGTCATAGTTGGATGTGCAACGTTTTATGCTTTTTTAAATTTTCACTTCCACCACGTTATATTATTTTTCCTAAACGCAGATTATGTTGTGGTCTAATTTACAGAACAGTCAAATCAGAAGTAATAATGAGAAGGAGTTTGCAATGTTTTTGTTAAAAATTTGAAAAATATGGCTTATATTTTATTAGCTCTCAGTCCAAAGCGTCAAGTAGTGAGGGAACATTTTTTTATCCCTTCATACCAGGAGAGTGAATAAAGGTTGTAAATCTTTGGTGGGTGTATTGTAGGATGTATCGGACTGTGGATGTGAGAGAGCGGTGCAGACTGAGGAGGAAGTGCAGCTGCATCTCTGTGCAAGTCATTCATAGACCACACGTGTCTGCTCTCCACACATACACACCACTCACACACGCAAGCACACACTCACACATACAGACACATTAACGCAAGCACCCACACACACAACACTTACACTTACAAGCACACACAGGCACGCACACACAAACACACTGAAATTTCCCCACTGTGGGACAAATAAAGGATCTCTTAATCTACTCCCACACATACACACAGACACCCAGGTTCAGAGCCTGGACCCTCCCAGTTGCTCCTTGGTCTGGGGCAAGTAACTACTGCATCTGCAGTAGTTTTATTGTAAACCATCAGCTGACTTATTTTAGGAAAACTAATGACAACGACTTTAAAGATGTTGTCATTTTTGTATTGATTAGAAAACATTTTTTAAAGCTGCACTAACTGACTTTGGGATTTTGAAGCCGCGGACTCGCTGGCCTCTCTCTCTCTGCTCCCCTCCCCGCACCCACGAAGCTATCGCCCCACACACACACCCACTGTTGGGACGGAGCTAGTGTCTCCCAATATGGATAAATACATGGACATGGATTTGCACGTGGATGGCGTGACCATAGAACGATAAAACCGGGAAGCGCGGAGGAACGAGACTTTCTTTTGGATGGCTGTCTCGCTGTGTAAGCAGTAACCGGTGACGAAGACACACAAAGCTTCAGGTTAGCTCCGCCACTTGTTGTGCTAACTCAGCTGTCTGTGCTAACAGACCTGTAGATTTCTCACGAAAGTGGGGGTCAGTGGTCCGCTGTGATTGGTCACAATCTGCGACCCGAAACACATTCTCTTCCTTGTTTCATCAAAACTCGATCTAAAATATAATGTCACGCCAGCCCAAATCTGCGCTACTTTTTCTTCAAAAGGACGAATATCCCAATGCACTGCATGGACATGGATAGCTTTTTCGTAATGAATACAAAAATAAAGTCAGTTAGTGCAGCTTTAATACCATTTTATATTGGAAAAGAACAACCAAAGTTTTCAAAATCAATTGTTAGTTTTTTGGTCCAATTCCCCCAAATCGAGAAAAGACCATAGCAACGGCCTTAGAAACCAAACAAAATAAACCCCAGCGCTTCTCCTTATGTGAACTGGAAGTATATAGTTGTCTGTTTTTCGCACTAAATGACAAGAAGATGTGTTGCAATGCACTGCTCATAGACGCACAATATTAAGTAAGTAAGTAGGTAAGCTTTATTGCAGCCACGATGAGAACAAACTTCAACGAGTTGCAGAAGAATGGGACCCTCTCTGTTTTCTGTTTTCTCAACTATGTTCCTCACACGGAGACTTTACTCCTGCTTCAGTGGAAACGCTACAGCGAGCGTCGCTAGGATAGGATCGCTGCTTTGTCAGGGGACAGGACTTAGGCTGCTGCTCTATCAGGGGACAGGACTTAGGCTGCTGCTCTATCAGGGGACAGGACTTAGGCTGCTGCTCTATCAGGGGACAGGACTTAGGCTGCTGCTCTATCAGGGGACAGGACTTAGGCTGCTGCTCTATCAGGAGACAGGACTTAGGCTGCTGCTCTATCAGGGGACAGGACTTAGGCTGCTGCTCTATCAGGGGACAGGACTTAGGCTGCTGCTCTATCAGGGGACAGGACTTAGGCTGCTGCTCTATCAGGGGACGGTGAAATACACGTGAGTCACTATTATAACTTTCTTATGTGTTCAACCTCGTAGATTGATCATTAAAATGAAACGAGTCATTTCTAAAAGCTATCACATTTAGTTATGGGAAAACATGTATATTATACAGATGTTTGAGTTTGAAAACAGCTTTTTATTGTACCTTTGTGTTAATATTGGTAAGAACAGGCTAAATCCCTGTAACTCCCTGTTTGGGGAACGTGCATGAATCCAGTCTGTCAGGATTACGCTACATTAACATGAAAACCATTGATTTGATTAATGTGAAAACATTGTTGGAGATGTTGTCAAACCGCTTTTTTGAGGTTGTTTTAAAAACAAAATCTGGGGGAGGCCCCTAGAACCCTCTTTTACCTTGCAGTCCCACTGGTGTATGTAATATGTTTATGTGTGAGTGCTGCTGACAAGAAATGAATTGACGTTGTGTCTGTAGTAGGGGTGGGCGATATGGCCTAAAATTCACATGGCGGTATAATTTGGGACAGAGACGGTAGACGGTATATATTGCGG